TCCCATTCCCATCCCCATCCCATTCCCCTCCCTGTTCCCTTTCCCATTCCATTCCCATCCCAATTCCCATCCTATCTCATCCTAATTCCCATTCCCATCCCATTCCCATCCCATCCCCATTCCCATTCCAATTCCCATCCCATCCCCATTCCCATTCCAATTCCCATCCCCATCCCATTCCCGTCCCCATGCTAATTCCCATTCCCATTCCCATCCCCAGTCCGTCCCCATTCTCATCCCCATTCCAATTCCCATTCCCATCCCAATTTCCATCCCACCCCATCCCCATCCCCAATCCCATTCCAATTCCCATTCCCATTCCCATCCCCAACCTAATCCCCATCCCCATCCCCATTCCCATTCCCATCCTAATTCCCATTCCCATCCCCAGTCCGTCCCCATTCTCATCCCCATTCCAATCCCCATTCCCATCCCCGGTCCCGTCCCCATCCCTATCCCATTCCCATCCCATCCCATCCCCAATCCCATTCCAATTCCCATCCCCATCCCAATTCCCATCCCATCCCATCCCCAATCCCATTCCAATTCCCATCCCCATCCCAATTCCCATCCCATCCCATCCCCAATCCCATTCCAATTCCCATCCCCATCCCAATTCCCATCCCATCCCATCCCCAATCCCATTCCAATTCCCATCCCCATCCCAATTCCCATCCCATCCCATCCCCAATCCCATTCCAATTCCCATCCCCATCCCAATTCCCATCCCATCCCATCCCCAATCCCATTCCAATTCCCATCCCCATTCCCATCCCCGTTCCCGTCCCCATCCCTATCCCATTCCCATCCCATCCCATTCCATTCCCATTCCCATCCCATCCCATTCCTCTCCCCGTCCCCGTTCCCTTCCCCAATCCCATCCCCATTCTCATCTCCATCCCCATTCCCATCCCATCCCAAATCCAATTCCCATACCCATCCCAATTCCCATCCCATCCCATCCCATCCCCAATCCCATTCCAATTCCCATTCCCATTCCCATTCCCATCCCCATTTCTGTCCCCGTTCCCGTCCCCATTCCCATTCCCGTCCCCATTCCCGCCGCTCCTTACGCGATGGCCTCCACCATGGCCAGCCCCATCCGGATGGAGCACACGGCGTGGTCCTCCCGGAATTCCGGCAGCCCGCAGATGCAGTAGTAGCAATCCCCCAGGATCTTGATCCGCAGCTGGTGGTGCTTCTGGCAATCCAGAATTCCGGGACAATTCCCGGGTAACTCCGGCATCCCCACAACCCCCCACAACTCCCAACGCAAACCCCCGGATTTCCCATTCCCGCCCATCCGAGCGGGGTCCCATTCCCGTCCCCATTCCCGCCGTTCCTTACGCGATGGCCTCCACCATGGCCAGCCCCATCCGGATGGAGCACACGGCGTGGTCCTCCCGGAATTCCGGCAGCCCGCAGATGCAGTAGTAGCAATCCCCCAGGATCTTGATCCGCAGCTGGTGGTGCTTCTGGCAATCCAGAATTCCGGGACAATTCCCGGATAACTCCGGCATCCCCACAACCCCCCACAACTCCCAACGCAAACCCCCGGATTTCCCATTCCCGCCCATCCGAGCGGGGACGCCTCCACCCCCAGGCGCGTTCCCAACCTCCTCGCCGCCATCCCGGATTTGTTTTTTTTTCTGAGATTTTTGGGAATTCCGGGATTTTTGGGAATCGCGGGCAGCACTCACGGCGGCCAGCTTGTCGAAGCGGGCGAAGAGCTCGTTGAGGAGCTTGACGAGCTCCTGGGCGCTGCAGGACGACGAGAGCTGCGTGAAGCCCACGATGTCGGCGAAGAGGATGCTGCGGGAACAGCGCCCGCCCGTCAGCCCCCCATCCCGGGAAAAAATCCCGGATGGGGCCCTGCAAACTCGGTCCCGACCTCTCCATTCCCAGTTTTCCCAAAATAAACATCCAGGACTAGGCAAAAACGATGCTCGACAAACTCAATCCTGACATTCTCATTCCCGTTTTCCCCCCCCCAAAAAAAATCCTGGATGTGGCGATACAAACTCAGTCCTGACTTTCTCATTCCCGTTTTCCCCACAAAAAAAATTCTGGATGTGGCAATACAAACTCAGTCCCAACTTCCCCCATTCCCAGGTTTCCCAAAAAAAATATCCGGGATAAGGCAAAAACGACGCTCGACAAACTCAATCCTGACTTCTCCATTCCTGTTTTGCCCCCCCCAAAAAAAAATCCCGGATGTGGCGATACAAACTCAATCCCGACTTTCCCATTCCCGTTTTCCCTACAAAAAATCCCGGATGTGGCCCTGCAAACTCAGTCCCGACTTCCTCATTCCCAGTTTTCCCAAAAAATATCCGGGATAAGGCAAAAACGATGCTCGACAAACTCAATCCTGACATTCTCATTCCTGTATTTCTCCCCCAAAAAATCCCGGATGTGGCGATACAAACTCAGTCCTGACTTTCTCATTCCCAGTTTTCCCAAAAAAAATATCCGGGATAAGGCAAAAACGACGCTCGACAAACTCAATCCTGACTTCCCCATTCCCATTTTCCCAAAAAAAAAATCCTGGATATGGCAAAAACGATGCTCTGAAAACTCAATCCCAACTCAATCCCAATTTTGGGAATTCCCGCCGGTTTTCTGGGAATGTTTTCTGCATGGAACGGAGGAATTTTGGGAATTCCCGCTGGTTTCAAGGGAATGTTTTCCATGCTGGAATTTTGGAAATTCCCGCTGGTTTTTCAGGAACATTTTCTATGCAGAACGGGCAAATTTTGGGAATTCCCGCAAGTTTTCCAGGGAGTTTTCTGCAGGGAACCAGGGGGAATTTTGGGAATTCCTACCAGCTTCCCGGGAATGTTTTCTGTGTGGAATGGGGGAATTTCAGGAATTCTCACTGGTTTTTTGGGTACATTTTCCACGTGGAATGGAGGAAATTTCAGGAATCCCCGCCGGTTTTCAGGGAACGTTTTCCAGCACAGAAAGGGTGAATTTCGTGGAATTCCCATGGGATTTCCAGGAACATTTTCCAGACACGGAACAGGGGGATTTTGGAGAATTCCCATGATTTCCCTCAAACATTTTTCCACACAGAACGGGGAAAATTTCAGGGATTCCCACCAGTTTTCCAGGAACATTTTCCACGTGGAATGGGGGAAATTTCAGGAATTCTCGCTGGTTTTCAGGGAACATTTTCCACATGGAAGGGGGGAAATTTCAGGAATCCCCGCCGATTTTCCGGGAACATTTCCAGCACAGAACGGGTGAATTTTGCGGAATTCCCATGGGTTTTCCAGGAACGTTTGTCCAGACACGGAACAGGGGGATTCCGGGGAATTCCCATGACTTCCCTCAACCATTTTTCCACACAAAACGGGGGGAATTTCGGGGATTCCTACCAGCTTCCCGGGAATGTTTTCTGTGTGGAATGGGGGAATTTCAGGAATTCTCGCTGGTTTTTTGGGAACATTTTCCATGTGGAATGGGGGAAATTTCAGGAATTCTCACTGGTTTTTTGGGAACATTTTCCACGTGGAATGGGGGAAATTTCAGGAATTCCCGCCGGTTTTCCGGGAACGTTTTCCAGCACAGAAGGGGTGAATTTTGTGGAATTCCCACGGGATTTCCAGGAGCGTTTTCCAGACACGGAACAGGGGAATTCTGGAGAATTCCCATTATTTCCCTCAACCATTTTCCCGCACAAAACGTCTGGAGAATCCCCACGACTTCCCTCAACCATTTTCCCGCACAAAACGGGGGGAATTTCGGGGATTCCCGCCGCTTTTCCGGGAGCACTTTCCTCGCGGGAAGCGGGGGGGGGTTTTTTGGGATTTGGGGAACATTCCAGGGAGGTTTTCCCGGGATTCGGGGTCGCTGACCTGACGTTCTCGTGGCGGTACATGTACATGGTGTTGAACTGCTGCAGCTCCTTCTGGCTCGGGTCCTTCTTCATGTCCTTCAGCATCTCGTCGGCCACGTGCTTGGGCAGGATGGACAGCATCAGCCGCTCCTGCGCCACCGGAATGCCGGGGGGAAAAACACGTCGGGAATGCCGGGGGGGAAAACACGTCGGGAGTTACGGGGGGAAAAAAACACATAGGGAATTACAGAGGGAAAAAACACGTCGGGAATGCCGGGGGGAAAACACGTGTTGGGAATTACGGGGGGAAAAACACGTCGGGAATGCCGGGGGGAAAACACGTGTTGGGAATTACGGGGGGAAAAACACGTCGGGAATGCCGGGGGGAAAACACGTGTTGGGAATTACGGGGGGAAAAACACGTCGGGAATGCCGGGGGGAAAACACGTGTTGGGAATTACGGGGGGAAAAACACGTCGGGAATGCCGGGGGGAAAACACGTGTTGGGAATTACGGGGGGAAAAACACGTCGGGAATGCCGGGGGGAAAACACGTGTTGGGAATTACGGGGGGAAAAACACGTCGGGAATGCCGGGGGGAAAACACGTGTTGGGAATTACGGGGGGAAAAACACGTCGGGAATGCCGGGGGGAAAACACGTGTTGGGAATTACGGGGGGAAAAACACGTCGGGAATGCCGGGGGGAAAACACGTGTTGGGAATTACGGGGGGAAAAACACGTCGGGAATGCCGGGGGGAAAACACGTGTTGGGAATTACGGGGGGAAAAACACGTCGGGAATGCCGGGGGGAAAACACGTGTTGGGAATTACGGGGGGAAAAACACGTCGGGAATGCCGGGGGGAAAACACGTGTTGGGAATTACGGGGGGAAAAACACGTCGGGAATGCCGGGGGGAAAACACGTGTTGGGAATTACGGGGGGAAAAACACGTCGGGAATGCCGGGGGGAAAAACACGTCGGGAATTACAGGGGGAAAACAAGTCGGGAATGCCGGGGGGAAAACACGTGTTGGGAATTACGGGGGGAAAAAACACGTCGGGAATTACAGGGGGAAAAGAAAACACGTCGGGAATTACGGGGGGGAAACTCGTCGGGAATTATGGGGGAAAAATACATCGGGAGTTACGGGGGAAAAAACATGTAGGGAATTACGGGGGGAAAAAACACGTCGGGAATTATGGCGGAAAAAAAACACATCGGGAATTATGGGGGAAAAACACGTTGGGAATTGCAGGGGGAAAAGAAAACACATCAGGAATTACGGGGGAAAAACACATTGGGAATTATGGGGGGAAAACACGTCGGGAATGCCGGGGGAAAAAACACGTCGGGAATGCCGGGGGAAAAAACACGTCGGGAATGCCGGGGGAAAAAACACGTCGGGAATGCCGGGGGAAAAAACACGTCGGGAATGCCGGGGGAAAAAACACGTCGGGAATGCCGGGGGAAAAAACACGTCGGGAATGCCGGGGGAAAAAACACGTCGGGAATGCCGGGGGAAAAAACACGTCGGGAATGCCGGGGGAAAAAACACGTCGGGAATGCCGGGGGAAAAAACACGTCGGGAATGCCGGGGGAAAAAACACGTCGGGAATGCCGGGGGAAAAAACACGTCGGGAATGCCGGGGGAAAAAAACACATAGGGAATTATGGGGGGAAAAACATGTCGGGAATGCCCAGGGAAAACACATTGGGAATTACGGGGGAAAAAAACACGTCGGGAATTACGGGGGGAAAAGACGTCGGGAATTATGGGGGAAAAACACGTTGGGGATTATGGGGGAAAACACGTCGGGAATTATGGGGGAAAACACGTTGGGTATCGTGCAGAGGGGAGGGGTTGATTCGACCCTGGGAGTGTCCCAGGAAATGTTGGAGCAGTTTGGGATCGGGATTGGAATGTGGGATGGGATTGAAGTTTGATGGATCCCATCCCAAACCATTCCGGGATTCTGGGATCCAGGACGCTCAGGATCCATCCCGAGGGGATTTTAATGGAATTTTTGGGGATGGAAAAGGGAAGGGAGACCCTTCCTGGAGTTCTCAATTGCTACGGAATTCCCAAAATTCCTTTCCAGAGAGGAGCTGGGACGGGGATGGATCCAATGGCAGGCTGGGAGAGCTGGGAATGGAGGGAATTCCCTGGGAACAGGGGAGGGATTTGGGGTGGGACTTGGGAAGGAATTCCCGGCTGGGCTGGAATTCCCAGAGATTCCCTGGATCCCTGGGAGTGTCCAAGGAAAGGCTGGACCAAGAAAGGGAAGGGATCTGCACCGAGGTCCCCAAAGATCCCCGAGAGCTTCCACAAGGAAAAAAATGGGATCAAACCATTCCTGGCGGGAGCCACCCATGGAAAAACGCTGAATCCCACATCCCAAACCCCAAATCCAATCCCAAATCCCAAATCCAATCCCGAATCAAACATCCCACATCCCACATCCCAAGTCTCAAATCCAATCATCCCACATCCCAAATCCCAAATCCAACATCCAACACCCCACATCCCAAATCCCAGATCCCAAATCCCACATCCCACATCCCGCACCCCACATCTCAAATCCTAAATCCAGGAATGGACACTGGATGGATCCAGGGTGGATCAGGGATGGATCAGGGATCAATATCCCTGGATCAGGGATGGATCAGGGATCGATATCCCTGGATCAGGGATGGATCAGGGATCGATATCCCTGGATCAGGGATGGATCAGGGATCGATATCCCTGGATCAGGGCAGGATCAGGGATCGATATCCCTGGATCAGGGCTGGATCAGGGATCGATATCCCTGGATCAGGACTGGATCAGGGATCGATATCCCTGGATCAGGGATGGATCAAATTACGGGGGAAAAACACATTGGGAATTATGGGGGGAAAACACGTCGGGAATTACGGGGGGAAAAACACGTCGGGAATTACGGGGGGAAAAACACGTCGGGAATTACGGGGGGAAAAACACGTCGGGAATTACGGGGGGAAAAACACGTCGGGAATTACGGGGGGAAAAACACGTCGGGAATTATGGGGGAAAACACGTCGGGAATTATGGGGGGAAAAAAACACATAGGGAATTATGGGGGGAAAAACATGTCGGGAATGCCCAGGGAAAACACATTGGGAATTACGGGGGAAAAAAACACGTCGGGAATTACGGGGGGAAAAGACGTCGGGAATTATGGGGGAAAAACACGTTGGGAATTATGGGGGAAAACACGTCGGGAATTATGGGGGAAAACACGTTGGGTATCGTGCAGAGGGGAGGGGTTGATTCGACCCTGGGAGTGTCCCAGGAAAGGTTGGAGCAGTTTGGGATCAGGATTGGAATGTGGGATGGGATTGAAGTTTGATGGATCCCATCCAAAGAATTCCGGGATTCCGGGATCCAGGACGCTCAGGATCCATCCCGAGGGGATTTTAATGGAATTTTTGGGGGTGGACAAGGGAAGGGAGCCCCTTCCTGGAGTTCTCAATTGCTACGGAATTCCCAAAATTCCTTTCCAGAGAGGAGCTGGGACGGGGATGGATCCAATGGCAGGCTGGGAGAGCTGGGAATGGAGGGAATTCCCTGGGAACAGGGGAGGGATTTGGGGTGGGACTTGGGAAGGAATTCCCGGCTGGGCTGGAATTCCCAGAGATTCCCTGGATCCCTGGGAGTGTCCAAGGAAAGGCTGGACCAAGAAAGGGAAGGGATCTGCACCGAGGTCCCCAAAGATCCCCGAGAGCTTCCACAAGGAAAAAAATGGGATCAAACCATTCCTGGCGGGAGCCACCCATGGAAAAACGCTGAATCCCACATCCCAAACCCCAAATCCAATCCCAAATCCCAAATCCAATCCCGAATCAAACATCCCACATCCCACATCCCAAGTCTCAAATCCAATCATCCCACATCCCAAATCCCAAATCCAACATCCAACACCCCACATCCCAAATCCCAGATCCCAAATCCCACATCCCACATCCCGCACCCCACATCTCAAATCCTAAATCCAGGAATGGACACTGGATGGATCCAGGGTGGATCAGGGATGGATCAGGGATCAATATCCCTGGATCAGGGATGGATCAGGGATCGATATCCCTGGATCAGGACTGGATCAGGGATGGATCAGGGATCGATATCCCTGGATCAGGACTGGATCAGGGATCGATATCCCTGGATCAGGGATGGATCAGGAATGGATCAGGGATCGATATCCCTGGATCAGGGCAGGATCAGGGATCGATATCCCTGGATCAGGGATGGATCAGGGATGGATCAGGGATCGATATCCCTGGATCAGGGATGGATCACGGATCAATATCCCTGGATCAGGGCAGGATCAGGGATCGATATCCCTGGATCAGGGCTGGATCAGGGATCGATGTCCCTGGATCAGGAATGGATCAGGGATCGATATCCCTGGATCAGGGCAGGATCAGGGATCGATATCCCTGGATCAGCTGGATCAGGGATCGATCATGGTTCGATATCCCTGGATCAGGGATCAATATCCCTGGATCAGGAATTGATCAGGGATGGATCAGGGATCGATATCCCTGGATCAGGGATCGATAATCCTGGATCAGGGCAGGATATCCCTGGATCAGGGCAGGATCAGGGATCGATATCCCTGGATCAGGGATCGATATCCCTGGATCAGGGATTGATCAGGGATGGATCAGGGATCGATATCCCTGG